AAAAAAAAAAAGAAAGAAAGAAAAATATGCAGATGTAGCTCAGCAGTAAAGCACTTGCTTAGCCTACATGAGGCCCTGGGTTCAACCCACTGCACTACAAAAAGAAAGAAAATCAAATGTACTACCACACCAGCCCTCAAACCAGAAAGAGCCACACCTGAGGGTAACTGCCTTAAACAGTCCCAATTTCAACTGTGTACACATGAGAATCAACACAGGCTTAATTCTGAAACTGAAATGTGGTTGATTACTTTATGACAAGGTCTACCACAAGTGGACAAAAATCAGTAATTAAAATATCTAAAAACTGAATTTCAGGATGAGCTTTTAATCAAAAAGTGCTCCTCAAGATAAAAAAAAAAGTGCTCTTCTACTTAAAGTATTTAAAATGTTGCCAGGCATGGTGGCAGACAGCTGTATCCCAGCATTTGGGAAGCTGAGGCAGGAGGATCCCCATGAGTTTAAGGCCAGCCTGGGCTACACAGTGAGTTCAAGATCAGTCTGAACTGCACAGAGAGATTCTGTCTCCAAAAAAACAACAACAAAAAAAAAAGGTTTAAAAAATACACACACACAGAAATAAAAAATGCTTTGTATAAATAAATCTATGGGGCCAGTAAGATAGCTCAGCAAACTAAATGCCTGCTTAGGCAGGTGCGGGACAGGTTCGACCCCCACACATGCTGCGCCAGCCACAACCCCCCTGGTGTATTAAGCAGGCTACCAAGACCAGGGTCATGGCACCCGCCTGTAATCCCAGCACTGGGAAGGCTGAAAAACAAGAGGATCAGTATGAGTTCGAGCTGTGTAGTGAGACCCTGCACCATATACATTAAAAAAAAAAAAAAAACTATGACATAACTTATGTATGCTTATGTATATTAAGTAATAAATTATGATTTAATTTATGTATATTTAAGCACCATCATAAGATAAAGACTATAAAACCTCTAACAATGAGTAACAGTGTTTAACCTAATACACTCCTGTATACCAAAAGGCAATTAAATCCATCAAAACAATGAAAACCCTGGTCTTACAAAGTCATTCATAACTACCTATATAGGAAAACCTATTCTACAGGAGGAAGAGTCATTGTTCAACCAATATGACATTAAAAAGCCAATTTAACTGGGTGTAGCAATGCACACCTGTAATCCCAGCACTCAGGAGGCAGGAGGATCGCTGCAAATTCAAGGCCGCCTGCCCTACACCATGAGTTCAAAGCCAGCCTAAGCTACATAGCAAGATCCTCTCTCAATAAACAAAAACCAAAAAACAACTCCACTTTTGATAGCAATAACCTCTTCTACAGGTATAACCAAAAAGATGTCTTTTCTTCTCTACACTAATTCATCCTAAACTGAGAAGCCTTTAGGAAATTAAAAAATTCAAAATATATACTCTTTTAATGTAAAAATAAACAGAAAACTGAAGATTTAATTAGTTGCCTAACCCATTATTGTAAGTTTTTCATGTTGAACTACTTCAAAGTAAGTTCTAAAAAAATAAATTCATCCAAAATTCTCATAACAAAGAAAAATTTAAAAATCAAGGAGCATAAATTATTTTGTTAAATAGTAGAATGACAAAGACCTCATAACATATAAACTTATTGCTTTAGAGAAATAAAATAATTTACAAAGACAATATTAGTTTTTAAACATCTCAAAGTCACAACTATTAGCTAACACTAAACGGCTAGATAAGTAAAATGACATTCAACTAAATATTAATACATTAGCATAATTAAAGCAAAATTATTAACTTTGTTCTAAGTTAAATTAACATGTCAAAGTATAAATCATTCCCAATGAGGCTATCAAACAAGATACATTTAGCAAAGCTGAGTAAAATAAATCCAGTATTTCTCACAAATAATTCCCCTTTAAGAAAATATTTTTTTAAATTATACTATTCCTATAGGACCCCTAAACTGGTCAGTGCCATAATCAGAGATTGTTAGTCGAACATCGGCTCAGAGAGAACCAAGAGAAAAACAGTAAGTAAAAGTATGACTGAAAAGAATACTTTCCCACGAGAATAATTTTTTTTTCATATCAATCCTTGAATTTTGACATAGACACCAAAAGCAGCAACTATTGTAATTCTCTAAAACAACCCTAATACAGAGACTGGGAAGACAGAACTCTCCCAGGCTATTAAAAATCCTTAACCACAATATGCTTTAACTTTCCCCTCATCTACAATCTAACAAAATGCAAAGACAATGAAAATAAACACTCCTTCCTAGCCTTAGCGAAACACAGAAAGCTCTCATTCAATGCTAAGCCTTATTCCACTGGAAACACACTCCTGAAAAGTAAATCCAAAACCACGAGCTCAGACTGCTTCATGCAGAATTTACTGAATGGCGGCCAACCTCTGTACACACTGTCCTGACCCACACCGAAGGGATATCGAGAGTTCTGTATTCTCCACTTACAACTTGTTCCTTGCTGTGCTTTCGCCACCACTGATTTTTAAAAATGAGACCAAAATGTTCCCCTTGGCTGGCTCGGGCATAGGAAAAAAAAAAAAAAAGCAACTTTCATCCTCACATTTTTGTTTTCTTTTTTGCAATACTGGTCTTTGCAAAGCAGCATGCCTTTTTAGATCATCCACAGGGAGGGAGGAGTTTGAGTGTCCCAGGCCTGCAGTGAATAAGGACCCCCAGACAACTTTTAACTGGCTTTGCTTCTGCACTAGCACGACACATATCACCTGTTAGAGCGGCACCGCACTTACACCTTCAACAAGTGGCCAAGGGCGGCGATCTGTCCCCAGGCACCGTCCCGGGCGGCAGGTGAAGCTGGGAACGCCCATCCACGCCCAGCGGCGGCCCCCGGGAGGCGGCGGGCAAACGCGGGACGCTCCGTTACTCGCCCTCCCGAGCCCAGGTGAGCGCGGCGCCATCACTCCGGGTCCGGGTCCGGGTCCGGGTCCGGCGCAGGAGACCCTGAGTTCGAGCCCCGCGGCCGCCCGGGTCCCGGAAGGCGAAGTTTCGCTCCCGCCCCGGCGCGGCTGCCCGGACGCCGCCCGGCTCCCTCCGAGGGTCCCACCGCCTGGGTGGGGCGGCTGCGGCCACCGCCTCCCGTCCTCGAGCGAGTCTGGGGCCGCCGACCCGGCCGGAACGGGACCTGTCACCCGGGCGGGAAACAAAAGCCGAGAGAAAAAGAACGGGCGCGACCCGCCTCGCCTGGTGAGGGGGCGCGCGGCGGGGGCGGGGAGCCGCCCGCTGACCCCGCACTTGGGCCGGGCCTACCACGCGCGTCACCTCGGGGCTGCCCCGGGTCCAGACGCCCGGCTCCTGGGCTCGGGGGGCCGCGAAAGGGGGCGGGGAGGCGGCGGGACCGCGAAGGAGGGAACTCGGGCACCACGGCCGTCCGCCCCATCCCCGCGGCCATGGCGCCGGTACCTGTCGCCGCGGTGGCTCGCCAGCTGTCTCTCGCCGCCTCGCCCGCGCGCGCCGCTCTCTCCTCTCAGCCCGCCCAGCAGGCCGCCCGCGCGCCGGACACCTCAGCCCGAGACTGGCAGCGCCCGTGAGCCGGCCCGAATCCCCGGGGCAGCGCCGGGTGTCGTCCCGCCCCCGCCGGCCGCAGGACCCGCCTTCCATAGGGCCATGGGGCTGTCAGTCCACCCCCAAAAGGCGCGCGGGCTGCCGCTCCGCCTGCATGGATTGGTGGCCGCGCACCATCCATGCAAATGAGGCCCCACCCCCTGTTCATTTGACTCTCCGCCTCCCTACACCAGCCCAAGTGTCTGGCCCTTGCCCTTTGTGGGGGCTCTAGAAAAAGGATGGAGGGAACTAACCAACGCCCCCTGGCATCATCCCTCACCTCCGGAGAAATGAATGTCTTTGCAAGCAAGATAAGACTAGTTCATTGTCTTCACAAGCACTCTGCCCCTCCTAGCTGACCACTAGGCCCGCCCTCAGGCTGGAGGGGGCAGGCAGGGCTGGCCCAAGGAAGCTACTCCTGGAAGTCTGGCTGCTGGTGGCCTAGGGAAATAGCACCTCTAGAATCTGGTTGGCACATAGCACCTCCTTATGGACACCCAAGGACGGGAATCCCATGCTTGTGGTTGACTACCTTTCAAACATGAGATCTCAGGTGTTTAAGGCAGGAGGGTGCCTTAAAATGGGTGTCTTCTCTCCCAGTCACCTCCAAAGAGTTAGGCTGGTGAGTGAACTCAACTTCAGGACTGGACTCCCTGCCTGTCAGGGCCCACTCAGTAGCCACACCTAGACCTAAGGAATTTCAAGCTCATCTTTCTTTCTTTCTTTCTTTCTTTCTTTCTTTCTTTCTTTCTTTTTTTTTTCCCATCCCTTTCATTTTTAAGGAGACAAAACTAGAGTTTGTCTAGCTACGTAGTCACCTGTGGGACATAAGAGTTACCTCTGGAAATCTGAACTCTCCTAGCTGAATTAAAACTCATGTCTCGGGCTGGAGAGATGGCTCAGTGGTCTAAAGCACCTACTTGAAACAAGCTTGACAAAGCACAGGGACCACGGTTCAGCACAGGGACCACGGTTCGATCCCCAGCACCACATGCCAGCCAGCCTCGCCCCCTGGTGGGCTGAGCTGGCCACACACACACACACACAATAAATAAATGTAATAAATAAAAATAAATATTAAAAAAAGGTGAAAATTAAACTTTAAAAAAAAAAAAAAACTCATGTCTCCTGGCTCCGGATTTGCTCTTTCTTTTTTTAATATATATATTTTTTTAACATTTATTTAGTGTGTGTGTGTGGCCAGCTCAGCCCACCAGGGGCGCAGCTGGCTGGCATGTGGTGCTGGGGGATCGAACCGTGGTCCCTGTGCTTTGCCAAGCTTGTTCCAAGTAGGTGCTTTAGACCACTGAGCCATCTCTCCAGCCCCTGGATTTGCTCTTTCTGCACTCTTTCACATTCAAGCATTTATGATGAGCCTCTTCTTTTCGGAACAGTGTCCCACTATGCAGTTCAGGCAGGCCTTTAACTTGAAATGATCCTCCTGCCTCGGCCTCCAGAGTGCTGGCATTACAATTGTGTGCCACCACTCCCAGCTTTGAAGAGCCTCTTGTACTTGTCCCCATGCTGGTTGGTGCTGACTCTTTCACTCCCTACCTGCAAGAGATGGTGTCTGAGCCAGAGTGTAATCTCACCAACTGGGGGGACTGAGGCAAAAGAAGGTGGGAAGATGATGAGTGTAAGACCAGCGTGAGCTATGTAGTGAAACCCTGTCTCAAACAATAAACAGAAGTGGTGGCTGCAGAGAAGTCAAATAAGCCAATTCTGAGCCCTTGTTTGTGGGCAGGAGCCCTATCTGCCTCTCTTCTGTGGCTACTAGAACCCTCCCCTTTGTCAGATTCCTGGGAGAGTCACCCATGTGATTTATTTGTGCATTAATTCAATAACAGTGGTGATCAGAACTATGCTGACGCGAGTTGACGCAGCGCCTAGGGTGCTTACTACACACAAGGAAGAAGTGCAGTGCTGTGCAGGTCTGCAGGCAGACTTTATGCAGGCCCTCAAGGCCTTTACCCTGGGAGACAGAGGCATTTACATCACACTGTAGTGCTCCTAAATTCCGCAGGTTGTGGCAGTGGAGGGCCCCACAGAGGGAGGAATTGTTTCTCCCTGTGAGAGGCAGAGTGGGCTTTAAGAGGTGACAGAGAGAGACCCCATCTTAAAGATGGAGTGTTTGCTGGAAGGAGGGATGTGGATGAGGAAAGGGGGGGCATCATGAGCGAAAACACTCAGAGCAGGAAAGTCTAATAGTTGAGGGAACAGGGAGCAGGACGGTGGGCAAATCTGCAGGGCTGAGAGGATGGGTCACGTGTTCCAGGACCCGGCTTTTCCAGGAGCAAGACAGAAAAGCCCGGGAGGCTGCCAGGCTGTGTTGAAACACACCACAGCAAACAACAGCCCGTAGATACAGTTGCAAGCCTTTTTTTTTTTTTTTCCCCCTCTAGGTCAGAGTCTGCAGGGAACAGCGAGTTCCACAATGGCAGACTGGCTAGCCCCACTGCTCCCCAGCAAACCACTTTGGCTGCACCACTGTGCTCCTGGGCATTCGGAAGCACAGGTGCTTGCATGCCCCCTAAGCGTGGCTGCCCTTCGGAACACAGAGATTGGGGTGTCTTGGCAGCAGGGGCTGGCTATGACTGAGCACCTTTTTCTAATGTAGGGAGTTCTTTGATGGGCTCAGTCCCGGAGTCTGACTTCATGTGGGTGTGGGCTCTGCAGTGCTTGTCTTGGGGCTCCTCTGTTGCTCTCATAACACCCCTGGCAGTTTTTCAAGGGGTACTGCGTTTCCTTTTGCACTGGACCCTGCAAATTCTATAGCCAGTCCTGCCTGTCACTGAGTGTCCCCAGGCATGTTTGTGATAGGAAGCAAACTAGGTCTTATTTTTAAAGCCCTTGTCATTCACTAGATTTGTTCACATGTCTTCTGTCACTTGACTCTCACGATGGTAACCTGAGATGGGCAGCATTATTTTTTCCTTTCATTTATTAATTGAGGAAACTGAAGTTTGGCAGCCCTACCAGGTGACTCAGCTAGTGACCATGCTTGTCTTTGAACTTAGCCCTACTATGGGCTACCAGCGTGGCCCAGCTCAGTTCCAGAATCCTTTCACAGGCAGCCTAGAGAGGCAAGGATGTACTGTTATGAAAACCATAACACATGGTAAAGTGAATAGCTGTCATTTCACCTTTTGAATAGGTTTTCATCAATTGTGGACAATGTGCTATCGTTATATATTCAAGTACTGTTTCTGTCCCTTTTCTCTTTTTAATTTTTTTTTTCCCGAGGTTCCTGTTGAAACACAGTTAACCTCACACCATCCCTTTATTCTGTGTTTTCCATCTTTGTCCTTCTATGATTTGTTATAAGTTTCTTCTAGTTTTCAGTTCATAAATTGGCTTTTTCAATTTTGTTTTTTGTTGTTTTTTTTTTTTTGTTTTTGTTTTTTTTTTTTTGTACTAGAAATTGAACCCAGGGAGTGCTGACCTATATCTCAAGCCTTTTTTCATTTCTTATTTTTGAGACACAATCTCCTTAGATTACCCAGGCTGGCCTTGAATTTGCAATCCTCCTGTCTCAGCTTCCTTCATAGCTGGAATTACAGGTGTGTGCTATAAAGCCATCAATTGAACTCCCTGTTTATTATTTTTAAATTCTAGGATGTTTATTTGTTTCCAGTCTGCTATGCCATTTCTCATATTTCCAAGCTTGGATTTTCTTAAATATAGTAAAGCATGGCTGCTTCATGGTCTGTTTCTGACTGATCCCCACATTCAGTTGTTTTTGTTTTGTTTTAACTTTCTGCAAAGCTTTATTCCCGAGGGGCTCAGTCTTTCTTGACAGCTGCCTTCTTCATGGCGGCCAGCACCTTGCTCAGCTCCTCTTGGCGTGGATGTGCATCCCCACTGTTTTCTTGATGAACTTGAGGGCACGTTTGTCCTTGGAGACCTCGAGCAGCTCCACGGCACGCTGTGCCGCTCATAGAGGGTGAAGCCACACACCTCCTGGATCGTGTCCCTCACAAGCTTAGTGTGTTTGGTGTGACGTCTGCGATGGTGGCTGTGCCTCAGCTTGCTCACATTCTTAGTCACCTTGTGGCCCTTGTTGAGGCCCATGGCCATGGGACAGCCGAGGGCCATGGCTACTGTTCTTCAATGATTGCTATGGCAGAAGGAAGCTTTTTGTTTTGTTTTTTGTTATTATGTATTTAGTACGGTGTCTACAGGGTCTCACGGCACAGTGAACCTTCTGTTTTCAGCCTCCTAAGTGCTGGGATTACAGGCACGCGCCACCACGCTCAGTCTCAGTTGCCATTTTAGCACACCCCGGGGGCAGGGGCAGGAATCAAACCCCAGTCTCAGTGTCACATTCAGTTTTTTTTTTCAGAACCAGGGATTGAACTCAGGCCCTTGCACTTGCCAGGGAAGTGCTTATTCCACTGAGTCATCTCCCGGCCCACATTCAATTTTAACTACTGACTTGTGTTTTATTTCCTCTTGTCCTGATTCTGCATGGAGGATCCCAAAATCTAGTGACTTAAAATAGATGTCAGCAGACTTTTTCTTAAAGAGGCAAATAGGACAGAGGTGAGCCATGTTATCTCTGTCACATCTACTCAATTCTGCCATTATAACACAAAGCAGCCATTACTATACATAGGGGCTGGGGAGATAGCTCAGTTGAATAAGTGCTTGCTTGGCTATTGCAAGGGCCTGAGTTCAATCCCCAGCTCCACAAAACAAAACAAAAATCAAACAAACAAACAAAAACCCCATTATTATACATAAATGAATGAATGGTATAGATGTGTTTCAATAAAACTTTATTTACAAAAACAATGATCTTTGGCTTGAGGGCATCTGTGGAAACCCATCGCTGACATCATACTTAATTGTGGAAACACTGGGTGCTTTTCCCCAGGAAACAAGACAAAGGCAAAGTAAGGATGTCCACTCTGACCACTTGTATTTAATATTGTACTGGAGGTTCCAATCAGGGCAACTAGGAAGGAAATAGAAATAAAAAGG